GCCACAAGTCATATTTGTCATGGGGAAGCTGTCTGTGAGAGGCACATGGTGGTTCAGGGGCTATTTTCAATTTTGGCCTCCGAAATGCCCTTTTTCGACTAAGTTTCGGGCGTACTGGGCTCCAACTCCCAACCTACGGGTTCGAATGACGTTCTGTCAGTTGTCGCAAGTCATATTTGTCATGGGGAAGTTGCCCGTGAGAGGCATACGATGGTTCGGGGGCTGTTTTGAATTTTCGCCCCCGAAATGCCCTTTTTCGATTAAGTTTCGGGCGTATTCGGCTCTAACTCCCAACCTACAGGTCTGAATTACATTTTGTCAGTTGTCAAAAGTCATATTTGTCATGGGGAAGCTGCCCATGAGAGGCACACGGTGGTTCGGCGGATGTTTTCAATTTTCGCCCTTGAAAAGTCATTTTTCGACTAAGTTTTGGTTGTATTCGGCTCTAACTCGCAATCTACAGGTCCGAATGACATTCCGTCAGTTGTCACAAGTCTTATTTGTCATGAGGGAACCGTCTATGTGAGTCACCTCGTGGATCAGGTGCTGCTTTGAATTTTCGCTCCCGAAACACCGTTTTTCGACAAAGTTTAGGACGTATTCGGCTCTAACTCCCAACTTTTGGCTCCGGACTACATTTCGTCAGTTGTCACAAGTCATATTTGTCATGGGGAAGCTTCTCGTGAGAGGCACTTGGTGGTTCGGGGGCTATTTTGAATTTTTGCCCCCAAAACGCCCTTTTTCGGTTAAGTTTAAGGTGTTTTTGGCTCTAACTCCAACCTATGCGTACTAATTACATTCCGTCTGTTGTCATGGGTCCTATTTGTGACAGGAAAGGTGGCCGTGACATCCGTACGGTGGTTCGGGTGCTGATTTGCATTTTTGCCCCCTTAACACCCTTTTTCGGTTAAGTTTAATGCATTTTTGGCTCAAACTCCCAAACTACGTGTGGTAATTACATTTCGTCTATTTTCACAGGTCCTATTTGTGATGGGGAAGGTGGCCGTGACATCCGTACGGTAGTTCGGGGGATGATTCACATTTTCGCCTCCTTAATCTCCTTTTTCGTTTAAGTTTTAATGTGTTTTCGGTAGGGAAGGCAATTTAAACCCAGCCCGACGGGGACCCGATCCCCCAACCCTGATTAGAACGGGTTTTTCCTAAAAATTATCCCCATAGGGCCGGGGATGGTATTAAAAATTTAATCCCCGATAATTTTCAGGCCGGGGACAGTGATAGCTCTTCCAGACTCGGCCCTGGCCCGGCCCCGCCCCGCCTCTCTCTAACTCACTCTCTAGCCAAGGCTCTCTACTAAGATGAACTCAAAAGCTATATATATATATATATATTAGGCTACAGATTCTCAAGACTTAGTCAAAAAGCATTTTGAATTCATTTCTCAACTCTGTCTCTCTCTGTCTCTCTCTCTTTCTCTCTCTCTCTCTGTCTCTCTCTCTCTCTTTCTTTCTTTCTTCTCCTTTTACTCTCTGTGACTCTGTCAGAGAGATGAACGAACTGCTTCTAGATTTAAGCCACAGAGAAGTCAGATCAGTGACGGAGAGCTCCTTCCAGATCTGAGCCGCGACGGAGATCTACTGCATATGTGTGGCGTCGCTCAAATCTGAAGTTGTCCATTGTAACGATCTGATATATATATAGATATAGATATACATTTTTTTGTTGTTGATGTTGATGATGATGATCATTGATGATGATTTTGTAGACTATAGTTGTTTTTGTTGATGTTGATGATGATGAGAGCTACTGTTTTGTTTTGTTTTTTGCCCTGGCATTTTTGGGGTCGAGAAAACCCGATCCCCGTTAGGGGACTGGGCCGGGGAGGGTGATAGGTTCCCCGTCGGGGATCGGGGTCGGGGCCGAGGCCGGGGAAATTTTCACCATCGGGGATCGGGGACGGGAAGTGCGATCCCCAGCCCCGCCCCGTTGCCATTCCTAGTTTTCGGCTCTAACTCCCAAACTACGTTTGCTAATTAGATTCCGTCTATTTTCACAGGTCCTATTTGTGATGGGAAAGGTGGCCGTGACATCCGTATGGTGGTTCGGGGGATGATTCGCATTTTCGCCCCCTTAACCCCCATTTCCGGTTAAGTTTAATGCATTTTTGGCTCTAACTCCCAAACTACGTATGCTAATGACATTCCGTCTGTTGTGACAAGTCCTATTTGTCACGGGGAAGGTGGCCGTGACATCCGTACGGTGGTTCGGGGCTGTTTCCTATTTTCAGGTGAGTTTAAGGCATGCTAAAGTTCAACAAAATAAATGCAACTTAACCATAATAACAACTCAGCCAATACAAAAATGAAATAAAGGAAAAACCTTGGGAGGAAGTGTCATAATCCAAACCCGCCTCTAAAAGTTTGGTCCATGACCGGCCTGTACATAGGCCTTTAAACAGAATTTTAAAATAATATTTAACCATATACGGGGACTTAGGCGGAAGCAATATCAATAAAAAACAACATCCATTGAGCTTGTGCATACATGATGGTTTAATTGGATTTAAGCATTTACATACATTCCCAGAGTTATATATATAATCACAGAATTCATATAGATCTCACACACTCTTACATAAGACTTAATAATTTATATGACTCCCAACACAAATTAAGGCCTCCACACAGAGACATACCCCAGGTGACTTGGCAGACAGGCGAACCTTAGTACAACTCTAGTGTTAATCTCCGACGGCTCACCTATAGAAATATTCATAAAAACAGAATGAGCAAGGCTTAGTGAATAATAGCAATGTAAGGAGGTTAATTAATTGAGCATAGACTTAGAGAATGTAAATATGCATATCAAACCGTACACAAATCTTATACATAATCATATTTTAAAACAGCCTCAGACCCACATGTAACACAGAACGGCCTCAGGCCCATATATAATATAGAGCGGCTGTAAGCCCATATATGATACAGGACGGCTGTAAGCCTAGAGGTAATATAGAACGGCTGTAAGCCCAAATATAGTACAAATCGGCAATAAGCCCAGATATAATACAGAACGGCTGTAAGCCTAGATATAATACAGAATGGCTGTAAGCCTAGATATAATACGGATCAGCTGTAAGCCCAGATGTGATACAGAACAGCTTTAAGCCCAAACATGATACAGATTGGCTTTAAGCCCACAGATAATACAGAACGGCCTTAGGCCCAACATATTATGCAGAGCGGCCTCAAGCCCAGATATCAACAGATTGGCCTTGGGCCCATTATTAACAACACAGAATGATTCCAGATACACAAAGATATCATTGTTCCATAATACACATATGTTCCATTTGTTCATCATGAATTCAGATAGTTAACTTGCAGATAACAGAACGTTAGTATTAACTATTAACAGTAAGCAAAACGTACTGCTACAGTACTATTCCTCAATAGTGTACAAAGATTTTCCCATGGTTTATTACAAGTCGACATAGTTGTTTTGCGAATAACAGAACATTAATGATAACTATTAACAGAAGGCAAATGTATCACTGCATTAATAGGGACAGAACAATTTACATCATAATGGCCTTGGGCCCACGTCCATTACTAGGGACAGAACGACCTTAGGTCCATATCAGTGCCATTATTTAAGCATATCCATTAATTGAATCAAAGCACAATATCAATGGAATTGACCATTCACAAATAACAATACATAAATCATAATCACAGGAAGTAAGTGAAACATATTGTTACACTACTATTATTACTCACAGTGATCGGCTCCCGGTAGTAATGGGACGATGTCCTCGTCTCGACCTACAAGTACAGTGCACAACACATAATATGAGATTATAATCGATCCTTTACTTATTCTTTTTGATCATTCAATCAATTATCCATGGTGGTACCAAGCTCATTATTCCTTAATAAGTTATAATCCATATCTCAGAAAACAGGAGAAATCGATGGGAAATGGTTTAGGTGAAGAAATGGTACAAAATTGGTTGACAGAAAGTAAATAGTAGTCACTAATTTGGGCATAACTATTTCTGTATTTATAATTTGGGAGTGAGACTACCACCATTGGAAACTAGACTCTCGGGGCTTGATTTTAGGCTCAAGAATCACTCAAAATGGAGTCCGGAGGCAAAAGATATGCTTATTCAAAGTTGGCAGAACAAAGCTATCTCCCGCACGTGCGGGAAACAGAGCCGCATGTGCGGCTCTGGGCAGTTTGCAGTCCGAAAATGGCTGTGTAATTGGAACCTCTCATTTCAAAATCAAACCTCAATTTCATGTAAATCAAAGCCCCAAACCCTTTAATACATGATAAATTTCACATTATTAATCTCCATCAAACATCATAACCTCAAAATATTACTCAATTCCCAGGCACAAGAACACAAGAGCATAAAATAGCCATAGTGGGAATTCAAAGTTCACATCTTCCATATCAATCCTTGATTTCATGTAATTGATGCTTTGAACATAAGGATTAAAGATAGATGATCATACCTTAGTTCAATCTTTGTCTTTCTCTTAGCTTTATTCAATTTCCCCCAAGTTTCCCATGGGTGGTCTTCTTTTTCTTCCTTCAATTCCCTTCAAGCATCTTCAAAACCACCATGGATATTGAGGAGCTTGTCTCTCTTCTCTCTCTCTCCTTTTCACGGTTTCCCCTCTCTCTCCTTTAGATATTTTTAGGTTCCAAGAGATGAGTTCAACTCATGCCTCTCATATACATATACATTAAATATACACACATATAAGTTTAACACAATAGGGAGAGCCAAACGCGGCCTTACGAATCGCATTAAATCAAATTCCAATTAATCTTCCCAGATGACTGTAAAAATTGTGCTGATCATAAATATGTCCCCTGTTCTGGTTTCTGAAGCCTCTAAGGCCTTCAATTTGCAGTACCAAGTTAACCACCCAAACGTGCATTAACAAATCAAACAAATTAGATTTCCAATTAATTTTCCCAAATAGTTCTAAAAATTTCCATTAACACACCCAAGTACTCAATTGTGATTTCTGAACTCGTAAAGGTCGGTAATTTCAATTTTAAAACCGTGGCTAAAAAGATAATTCCTCAATTTAAACAGATATCATTAAATTAAAATGCATTAACCCATAAGGCCTTAAAGGTAATCTCTAATGCGGATTTTGGGGTCGTTACAGGAAGCCTTTTGAGAAGGACCATCAATGTTTGAGAAATCAAATTAGAAAACCAAGGTCCAATTGCAACATACTCCGGTAGCCTGCATTAATGAATGTTGAAAAGACTAATTACCAATAGAATTTAAGGACAAACATATTGCAGAACACAAACTTAGAATAAGCTGAAGTTACCTCTCAATGTCATCTACGATAATAATGCTTAATGGTGACTTATAAGCATCCTCAAATACCTTCACAATCTGAGCACATTTACTGCTTTCACTACGCCCAATCATTGTTTCAGCTGATATCTGTCATAGGAAAAAAAGTAGAATTTAAAAACATGAGAGAGAAAGAGAAGGAGGGAGGGCAGGCTATGAGGATTACTTACTATCTTGACATAGGGAAAATCGCTGTCAATACCAACAGTAGCTGCCATTGCAGTCTTGCCACTGTCCAAAACAAACAAGACTTAGAAAATGATCAATAGCAGAATTTGCAAATACAAAGGGTTTAGTTGCAGCTTATTCTCAAAACAACAGAGGCAACCAACAGATTAGATCAAACTGATGCAGCCACATATGAGCAAAAACAACAAACAAAATGCAGCCACTGAAGAGCTTAGCAAGACAACAAGACAGCTTCAAATTAAATCAGCAACTAACAGATTAGATCAGATTCTAAGCCACTAACAGCAGACTACCAACAGCAGACAGTGCTGAGCAAACCAGAAGTTACCAGACTAGCACCATGACTAACACCACTGCTCCACATCTCCACAGCCACAATTCAATCAATGACTACTCCACAGCCACAATTCAATCAATGACTACTCCACAGCTTAATACACCAGAACCTTTTGCCCCTGCAGTGGCAGATTAAGACAGAATACAACACAGACAGAGTGCAGCAGCTGATGCTCCAACACACAGGCACCTTCTAACTTCAATAGCAAAACCTGATTTGCCTCCAATTGAGAACCAGATTAGTTCTCTAGTTATTTAATTCTCACTTTCACAAAACTCAAACCAAAAATTTATGCACTTACATGTTGGGTTTTTTTTGTGAGTTTTTTTAGTACTTACATGTTGGGATTAGTTACTAGTTCTATCAAGTTCATTATGGATCTCCTTTTGTCCTTGTAGTTTCTCTGACTTGACCAAATCACCTTTTTGTGCTTCAGTGCTTGTTTTTGACCTCAGTAAAAATGTAGAAGCTACATGGAAGCAGTTCACCAGTTATCCAAAATGGTAGAAGATACATAATGATGCTGCATCATCATTCTTGGAACAGAAAAAAGAAAATATTCAGACCAACATTTATTTGAAAATTTGTTATCAAGAAATGCTTTGTGGGACATCAGTGGTTGAAACTTGAATGAACTTTTCTGAATTCAGCATGGTGATTGGTGAGCTGATAGCAAAGCACATATTACACAGGCCATCCAAAAATTGATCACCGAGTCACAAAATCTCTGAAGATGTATTACCATTCTTAATATGAATTTGAACTTGGAATGCCAATGGAATGGAAAATTTCCCAAGGAAAAAAGCAGTGCACACTAAAAGTAATTCAGCTCAGAAATAGATTTTCTTCATATTACTAAGAAGTTTGAGGAACTTTGAGTTAATCGACAAGGTTTTGAATTAATCGACAAGGTTTTTGAATTTTGAGTTAAGTAATGTCTTACGTGAATTGAGGAAGCAATCAATCAAATTACTAAGAAGTTTCAAGGAACTTTAAAACCATAGGATTGAATGTAATAGAAATTATCCTCAAGAACAAAATATCGCTTTTGGGGCAGAACAAAGCTCAAGAATCCACTTCACTGATCTCAACAATTAGAAACTACATGTCTAATAGGATGAGAAACAAACATGAGCAAGCAATAAACTTTATCTGTGTGTCATTAGCCATTACCTCATCGTAATTGAATGAATCAAAATTGGATACTACTTTGATGGTAGCTTTACCAGGCTTTTTTTCCTGCACAACCCCATAGGCAGATACTAATACAATACCCAAATATAACTCAATATAACCATGGAAATCGGTTACTCTTTTTGGATCCAATAGATGTAGCTTAGAAGAAGTAACACAAAAGTGCTGCAAAAATATGAAGGATCTCTAAAAAATAAATAAAAAAATCTTCTTTTAAAAATTGACTAACTCAAGGACTAGTTCGACAACCCAAGGAGTTAATCTTGTTGAATTACTTTAACTCCCCAACAAAAATGATTTATAAACACACAAATCTACCCTTTTGTTTCTACATTTGCCTTTTACCATCTATCATAATTACTCTCCTATCCTTAACAATTTCAATCAATTATATATAGACTATATATCTTACACTAACGATGAGTTAAATATAATCTTTGTTCCACCATACAGATATATGAAATACCATCCTTATATAAATAAAATTACCATTATGTTACCAAGTTGCCATTAGTTTATCTCCTTTTTGAATTAATTTTTCTTTCATCGCATTTTAATAAATATTAAGACCAGGACATTGCTTTAATGGCAAAGAATAATATTTTTACTAAAATTTAAAGTAAAGTAATATCTGAATAACATTTTCTACTTAAATGACAAGAAATGTGTGTATATATGGAAATAATAATACATACTTAGTACATGGGGAGAGATCCCTTTTACATCCAATGTAAAACCTTTTTAGTCTTACATTACATCGTTTCAAAACTTTTTGCTAGATTCATATTTCATAAAATAAAATGGATTGTTCATGCATGCCAAATTTTAGGTTGATCAGAGATTAAAAGTTCTCTTATTATTCTCTTATTACCTAGATAGACCACCAAGTTAGAGTCATATTCTATTAAACAATACCAACATATATATAGATAGTTCATGATTTCTAATTGACCTTAATTTGGCAAACCAGATTAAAATATGAGGAACGTGTAATCTAATGATTAATTTTATTTATTTACGTCATTTGTCTATAACACTATATCTATAAAAAAAAAAGAAAAAAAGTAGCAATTCATGATATTTATCTATTAATTTTAACAATATCATAACACAATTAGCAGTAGAAAATGCACCAACATGGCAAGATAATAAGTTCCGATACTCAAAGAGAGAGAATATGAATATCAGCAAACAAGGAATGTAATCAAACTACTTACAGGAAATGAAAGATACAAAACAACAGTCCACTCAGCCCAAGACAATGGCGTCACCTACAACACAAAATTCAAATATTTTAATTAACAACCTCATGTAAGGGGGCAAAAAAGTCGAATCATAGAAAAGAAATTGCAGTAAATAGATAGAAGTAGAAGATAAATCACTTGTGGAAAAAAGAATAGATAGAGGTCGCATGTACAAGATAAGAATATGAAGGAGCATGGTCAGTACAATTGAACCAACAAGCCACAGATTACTCTAGGGAGGGATACCACTAAAAATAAAGTACATGTTACTGGTATTTATTTATTTTCCTTTTCAATGTTTGAATAAACAACAACAGCTTCTACAACTGAGAATGAAAGACAAAAATATGACTTTCACTTATAATAGTAGCTTGAAATTATAAAAGATGGTTAACAATTGTGTAAGATAAATGACTGGGTGACAATTGTGTTATAACTTATAAACCGATTTTATCATAATCTAGTTAAACTACTAAAACTCAGTCACTTTTCGGCTTATCTCTCATGTCTTTGAATAATATATCATCTTTATGTTACCATTTTGTTTTCTCTGCCTTGACTGTTTCAATTTTTTGCTTCTAGATTGGAAACTATGATCACCCCTAATAAACATAACTCGTGGATGGCATCATCATGCATTATTGAAGGAAAGTATCAAGATCAATTTGGTAGTTTAAAGTTTGCTACCAAATAAAATTCTTCTTATTGATCACAACTAAAGAGCAAATACACAATTGTCTCAGCTTCCTAGGGGTATGTAGAACATAACAAAAGAAGATTGATCATCATTATCACACCATTTCGCACAAAATGACACAAACAAGGTTCCATAGTCCTAAACTTTTGTAAGGTAAATAGAAAAGTAGACAATGGTATTCAAAACACACCAAACATCTTACCAGACATCAGGACAGAGCTCAGTGGTTGCAGGAGGCATCCATCTTCCAAAGTTATAGACACTTTCACCAACTTTCCACACAGGCACATCGTTCATTATTCTCGCCTCCTTCAAGATACTTCTTCCACTCTTTCACAAATCTAAAATAAAAAATAAAAATAAATAAAATAAAACACACATACAAGGAAAAGAAAGGTGTTAAAGTTAGTGAAGTTAGTTGAATAGGAAGGGGATGGGTTGAAAGGAGAGAGACACTGAAAAGAAGATTACCTTTCATCCTCTTCAATGAACTTTGCATTTGTCACCACTAATACCCATGAATCAGCACTAATGACCAAAGCCCTCTTTCCAATATGAAGAATTTCATCAACATTAGTGAAACTTAGTAGAGTATTCCAGGATACTTGACAGCTACTAACACAGCTCCTAAACCCCCCAAAGCAGGGCCCCAAAATTTTCCTTGATAAACTCAAATGCCTCAATGAACCCAAATTTTTCCCTCAACAAAAACAAAGAGAACTGCTAAATTAGCTAGACAATCTACCAATGCAACTCCAAATTTACTGCAAGTTGAAGAAATTAAACCAAAAACAAGCTAAACAGGAAATTAAACTAAATAAATAATATAAACCCTAAAGCAAGAGTGACAAAATGGGAAAATAGAGGAAGGAGAAGAGAGAGAGAGAGAGAGAGAGAGAGAGAGAACCTGTTCGTATTGCGGAGGTGGCGGTGTGATTTGTGGAGGTGTGGTGGCGATGTGCGTCATATAGTAAGCAACGGTGGTGAACGTTTGCAGTGAGGTGAAGTTTGGTGGTGACTGGTTCTCTCTGTGTGTGTGTGTGAGAGAGAGAGAGAGAGAGAGAAGAGAAGAACCCTGTTTTCAAAAATGCTAAGAAGAACTGGCGCCATTCTTTTAATATTCCCACTAAAATTTTATATACCTTTGGCGACCAAACTTGTTGTTTGTTGCCAAAGGTTAATTATACCAACTAATTTAATTAGTAGCCAACATTTAACAAACAACGACTAATATTTTAGTCGCCAAAAGCAACCATTTTGGCTACTAAAGGTATTTTGGTCACCGAAAAGAATTATTCACCGACCAAATTTTTCGTCACCAAAGATAAAAGTAAAATTTATGTTTTTTATTTAGTGACTAAATAATTTTAGTAGGCAAAAATTACCTTACAGTGACTAAAAAATTTTTAGTCACCGAAAATGAATATTTGCCGACCAAAACTTTGGTTGCCAAAGTTTAATAGCAAACATTATGCTAGGTTTTTGGTGACTAAATTTATTTTAGTAGCCAAAAACTAGTATACCACGACAACCAAAAAATTTAGTAGCCTAAAACATGATCTAATGCCGACTAAAATAACTTTTAGTCGCGTATTGTTCATATTTAGCGACTAATTTTTGTTTTAGTCGCCAATAATGAAGATACAGCTACTAAAAAAATTAGTAACTAAAAATCATATTCAACGGCAACCAATATAATTTTTAGTCGCCTATTCTACAACTGTTGGTGACTAAAAAAGTTTAGTCGGCAAATTTGATCGCCAAAAGTGTAAATTGTTGTAGTGAAAGTACATCTAAAACTATAATATTATAAAGCATTTTGCATGTTTCCCACAAGTGTTGTACAAGTTCATAACCAGCTGAATTCAATACTTGTGATTGATTTTTAGTTTGAAAATAATCATGAAAACAATAGTGATGGTAATTAATACATTAAACATGTACCAAGATCATATAAAACAATGAAAACACAAACAATTAGTAATATATAGCAATCATCTTTAAAGTGTGTGTGTGCGTTGACATAAACCAAGATTAGGAAAGGTAAATAGCAAATTATGCTTTGTTTGGAAGAGTAGATCTTTGGAATCCTAATTCTACCACTTGGTTTGCACGTTGTGTTTGGTTATAATTTTTAAAAATTAATTTTACACCCACTTTTAAAAATTTCTTTTTAGGCGGGAAAATTTGACTAATCCGGTCGTCTCCTTTGACATCCTCCGAGACGTCCGGCCGGTTGACTGGAACAGTATACTTTTTTTTTTTTTTTTTTTGATTTTGACCTTTTGCATCTGTTATTTTTATATTTTAAATAAAAAATATTTCCATAATTTTTTTAAATTTTTTTTATGAGATTTGAATAGGATTTTGGATTGTGTGTTTGGTTATGAATTGTAAGTTTTTGAATTAACTATCATATGCCACATCATTCATTTCAAACTCAATTCAAAACTCTTTCCAAAAAAGTCTTTTCAAAACTCATAACCAAATAAATTTTCTACACTCAAATCATAATTCTAAAACTCACAAACTTAAAATACAACTCCTATTCTCAAATCAAATTTTAAAAACTCTACCAAACGCTATTTTAATTTTTCTATAAACTTTTCCAGATAAGATATGATGCTATCTTCCCAACACATAACTACAGATCATACTTCAACAAGTAGGCTTTTATTTGAACTTTTACATGGGTTAACATTTCTAGAAAAATTTACTTGCACAGAATAACATAGATGTATGATTTTCTCTGTTTTTTATTTCTGCCGAAGCATCTGGGGGACCCTCTGTATCTTATGCAATGGCTTCGCTTTCTCATGAGGACTCACCGGTCTCGCCAGACTCGCCTCCTGCGTTCATTATGAAACTTCGGAACGCATCGCGGATGCGGGGTTGTGGCTGTGGGGTCAGAGGGCAACACTCAGCTGCGCATTGTGTTGGTCCTCGTTGAAAGCCTGATCCGACATTGCTAGCTCGTAAGAATCAGATACACAATCTAGCAAGAGGTAGCATAATCTGTATCCTTATATCTGCTTAACAATTCCAGTTTTAAGCAATTGTATTAGATTAAGATTGACACCTTTACAAGTGTTATCTGTTTGAGAATCTTCATCAAAACCAAAAATGAAGTTCAGCATTTCTTTCCTGGTCTTGTTTCTGAGAAAGAATTGAGGTTCTTTTTGTTTACAATCTTTTTCTTTTTACATAAAGTCATAAGCTTTTTCTTTTTGCATGTTACTCTGTAAAAACAAATCCAGTCCCTTGGTTTTTATTCTTTTTCTTTTATGTAAATCTGGCAACATGTTTTTCACGTACATACCAAAAGATGAGATATATTACTGTTTAAACTATGATCCAAATTCAAATTCATATGAAAATTAAACCCAAACATCTATATTTTTTTCTTCAACTTTTTAGTTTAAAAAGACAAGAAATATATTTATTTAGGACACTCCAAACAACCCTTTAATTTCTCTTACCATCTGAAAGTGAACAGCATTGGTGGTGTGCTGGTCTTATCATGTTAAAGCGAAAGTGAACAGCTCTGGTGGTGGCCATATCTAGGCTTTGGTGGTGTGGTGGTGGTGGGTGGTAGTGGGATGTGAAAGTGAATAGCTCTAATACCTAAGACCTATAGTTAAGTAACATACCTTTATCACGTGAATAATACACACTATATATATTTTTAAATAAAAATAAAAATTTATATTTTATAAATTTAACAATATGCGCACAAATCCACTAGTATAGTGGCCAACATCGGATCTCACCCCCACCTACCAGCACATTTGAATGGTCACATCACAGTCAGTATTTTTGAAACATTAATGCAAAGAATAATGTTTGGGACTCCTTTTTGGGGGTCACCCCCTCACCCCCCTTTGCCACGTGGCGGGTGGTGATTGGAGGAGTAGGAAAAAAAAGAAAAAAAAGAAGAAAATGTAACCAATAAAAGAGAGAGAGGGTCAAAGGGGGTGGGAAGAAAAGGAGGATGAATCATTGTTGTAATGCAAAACACATCCATCAAATGTTTTAGTTGCATTTAAACAAACAAAAAAAAGTTTTCCTCAAATTACTCCTACTACCCCATGGATGTGGCAATTTATGATTGGCCACCTATTAAATAATTCAAAATTTATTAATTCTTATTCAATTTTGTAGCAAATTGAGTCTAAACTATGTAATCAACGTTTACATTTATTTAAGGAAACCTGTCTTTAGAAATTATATATATTTTAGGTAATCAGTATATTTTTTTACAATTAAATCTTTATATAAAACTATATTTTCTTCAACTTTTCAAGAACAAAAAACAAAAAAATTTATTATACTTGAGTTTCTGACACGAATCATAACGTATAAAAATATATTCATAACCACATAAGTGAACTAACAATCACTTTGTTTGGTTTTTATTTTAAGAATTTACCTTTTAAAAATTTTATTTTTTCATTTTTCGTACTTTTTGTTTTCATTGAATTTTTCTAATATGTTAAACAATTTTTAAAATTTTTAGACATACCTAACATAAATACACTTAAAAGGTATAATATTTATAAAAAAAATCCTTAAAAAATTCACTAAATATCAAAATATAATATATATATATATATAGAAATTTAGTATATTTTTCGTATTTTTGTATATTTATTAATTTTTTAAAATATTTTTTTACAAATATTTTACTATTTAGATATATCTAAGTAAGGTGCATCTAAAAAAGTATTAAAAAAAATTGCTTGAAATTTAAAAATATTTACTAAAAACAAAAAAATACGAAAAATAAAAAAACTCAATTTTCAGAAAATTGAATTCAGAAAATTGAAACAAAAAACACTGACTAATATTTGTCAAGGATCTATTCAGAGTAACAAGGTATGAAATTGGATAATTTGACAATCATAATTCTATTATTCATGATTTTTAAATTTTTGTGGATTGTAAGCATTTGTTGAGTGTAATTACTCTAGTGAGAATTGTAGGCATATTACATTGTTAGAGAAAGAATAAAAGAATTGGGAGGCACTACAACATATAAGAGTTTTAGAAACTAAATGTTTTGGTCTCTAAAAGTGAAAATTTTGTTGCAAAAGAGATTTAGGGACCAATTTCTATCATAGTGAGAATAGTCACTAAAAGGTCGTTCTGAAAAGTAAAAAAATAAAGTTTTTAGCCACAAAATTTTGAAAATGTCACTAATAAATAGACTTTTAGGGACAAAATAATTTGGTCTCAAAATAGTTTATTTTTTGAGACAAATTTTGGTCTCAAATAGATAATAATTCATCACTAATGTCTAATTTTCGTTACTGAAAATATAATAACGACATTTTTCGCAACAAAAATATTTGTTCCTAAAAAATAATTTTGTCCCTAAATTTTGGTGCCCAAAACCTTAATTTTTTGTAGTGAAGGTAGATCCCAAAAAGATGAGAAAGTTCATGATTAATTAAGAGATAGATCATGTAATGGTATTGAAATTATATGAGAAGAACTAATAGAATACATTGAGAATGACCATAAATGCAACGACTCACTACAAAAAAATCATGTTGTTGCGACGGCAAAATGCCGTCGCTAATACTCCTAATGCCGTCTCAAAAAAAGTTTAGCGACGGCAAATGACTTTTAGCGACGGCAAAGGGGGGTTCATAACAGAGGGCGTTACAAAAACTTTTTAGCGACGGTATCATCCCATCGCCTTTTTTTTGCGACAACAATTGTTGCGTTTTGCGACGGCATTTTACTGTCAATAATAATATGTAAAAAAGGGAGAACTTTTGCGATGGCACTGTTTTATCGTCTCTAAAAGTCTTATTTGAGACGACAACTAATGCTGTAGCGAATTGTGTTTTTTTTTTTTGCGACGATGTGGTGCCATCGCAAAAAAAAAAAAAAAAAAAAAAAAAAAAAAAAAAAAAAAAAAACATAACAAAACAAAACAAACAAAAAAAAAAAACAAAAATTGCAATATAATTATTAAAAATATTAAAATTACATGTATTAAATAAAAAACAATTAAAAAAGAAACCAATAATTGCATAATAATATAAAAA